CCGGCCCGACGCGCGGCGGCCTGAGCGCTGGAGAGGCCCTCGAAGGGTCTTCGAAGCAAAGGTTCCTGTTAGTCCTTTCCGTCCCGCCCCCGACCCAAGTCTGCTGTGATTTAAGTAGGCAAATAGATCTACACCGACACAATAATTTAACTTGTTTTGTTTTCGGTATTTTCTACAGGACCCCAAGAGATGGACTTTCTCCATCCTCTCTCCAGAACCCGCATCCTTCATCTCTGACTATGTAGGCTCCATTATCCAGATCCTTGGGGTTCCGATAGCCTCTGAGTTATTGGGACTAGGAAAGCTTGGCTGAAATCACACCATTTAATTAGATTTTTCTTTCTTCCTTCACCCTTTCTTTCAGAAAGGGTTGCATTCACCTCCCTTACTGAGGCGCAGGAGCTGAGACTGGAAAAGGCAAACCTCACGGCAACCCAGCTTGCAGCCCCCACAGAGGTCCCCAAGCTCCGCACAGCCAGGCCCGGCTGCCTTCCTCCGCTGCCTCTCCTCCTCCATCGCGTTTTCCTCCTCCCACTGTCTTCCTTTCTGCTTAAAGTTCAGCGACTCCGCTTGCTTCTGGCGTTTCCCTCGGAAAGCAGAAGCCAGACAGCCTAGCGGCCACGGGCCGAGCAGCCCCAGTCAACCCCAGCTGGTAGCCGCTTGGGCCTCCCTGCGCCGCCGGCGACACTTCGGAGCCAGGGCTCGGCCTCTCCACTGTCCTGCAGGTGTGCAGCCGCTCGGCCGGCGGCTGGAGCAGCAGGACGACCCGGGCGCAAAGGAGAGCTCACCTCTCTGCCCTCTGCTCGGCCCCAGGTTTACACCACGAAGTTTGGAGGGTGGGTACACCTGACCCGGGCAACTTGGCCCCCTAAACTCGTGGCTGACTAATCTTATATGACAAAAGCCCGTTATGGATTTGCTATATGTTAATTCACGATGCCCTTTCCTCCAGAATTTAACTATAAGTTAATACACACCGGAAACCACGCGCATACACGCCCGTTAATGGGCTTAGGTATTAGCGAGTCCTAACGATGCATACAAATGTGCTCTGTGCTCTGTAGGCCCCTCAAGATTTATGGGCCTTGAGCTCTCTGAAGCTGTAAACAAGGAGAAAAAAAGAGAAAGCGAGAGAGACTGGGGGAAACAGACAGAGGCCTGAATCGCCACTCCAGATTGTGGGAGAGAAGGGATTCTTAGGTATTTTCCTTGCTTTAGGAGCTTGGTGCGTGTGGGGTTTTGGCGTTGGTCTGGGGGTGGTGTGCTGCCTGAATGCTGGCATGCACGGGCAGCCTGCGGTTTGTGTGCTGGGTAGGAGGACCCTGGCCTCCTTTGAGTCACTGTGCAGGGGCCTGAACATAGTGGGCATTTGTGGACATATTTGTGTGCATGCACTATTAGGTGTGACTATCTGCCTGCCCCACGCACGTGTGACAAGGAGGCCTCCCTCTGAGCCTGGCTGTGGTCCCCCAACCTGGTGAACAAATCTCTAACAGCAATCATAATAACAATAAATAACATAACAATAATAAAAACAGTAGTTAACAGTCCCTCCCTAGTAGGATAACAATAAAATGCCAGAGGAGGTATTTTGAGGAGCGGGTAAAGGAGTCACCATCACGAATCTAGAGGGAAGACAAGAAAGGAAGTAAGTTAGCTTCTTTAAATGCCTTTGAGGGACTGGGGTTGGTTAGGAATCCCCTCCCCAGACAGGGTCCTTGAGGAGGGGACGAAAGCCAGGAGGCCACTTTTCTGCTGCTTTTTCTCTGACGTCTGCTTCTTGTGAGCAGGAAAGGGATTCCACTTAAGGGGTGATTCCTAGCTTTCGAGGCTCTCTAGAAACCCCTGTTCTAAAAAGGACGCTAAACGTGCAGGGTGAGGTGGAGGAGCAGAGGAGGATGGGCCGAGGATTACGGCCTGCTCCTGGCCGCGGGGCTCGGAAGTGCTCGAGAGGACCAGCGGGAGGAAGCAGAAAAATATTTATGGCCATCTGCCCAGAAGTGAGGAGAGCCGGAGAGTGAGGCAGGGGCTCCTGCGAGCCCGCTGAAAGTTCCCTTCCTGACGTCTTTTTTTTAAAAAAGGGAAAGGTTGAGTCGTCCTGAATTTTCCTTCTGGAGTTTGGAGCCCTGCGGATTTCTGTAAAGAAAGCGAAGACAGCAGTGCGGGTTTCTGCAGCGTCAACCTCCTTCTCTCCAGGTACAGTTTTCTGGTAATTTTATCAATTAATTATTTGGGGAAGTTGGGAGGTAGAGCTGAAGAGATGCGCCGTTAGCGGGAGAGGAAGCCGCCCCACCGTTTCGGGTCTAACGAAATCCCTCTTTTAAAAACAATTGTATGAAAAAACAAACAAAAAGAAAAAGAAGAAGAAAACATAATAACACACAACCAACTTTTTCAGAGAAAAAGAAAAGGAAATGACCATCCCCAAGAGCATGAGAACTTCTAAAAGATTTAATTCACAACGCTTTTCCAGAGGTTTGGATTCTTTTTCAACAGCGGTGACCCATTTGGTCAGAAAAGAGACGCAGAGGTAGGGGGGCTCACTGAGTCACCGCTTTCCACCCCCTCCCACACACACAAGGATTCAGAGGGGACCACTGGGCTTCTCGCATTGGAGAGGGCAACACCACCCTGAGGACCCTACCCTGAGATAACCTGGAGGACGAAATAGCAATAAAATAAAACAAGGCGACTCACTGAGAGCAGGGACAAGGCCAGGCCTTGAGGGTCAGGCGGCCGGCCGCGGGCTGACAAGGCAGCTGCCCCAGGTGGTGGGCGCCGGGCACTGGAGCTGGGCAGCTGTCTGCATCTTGGGCTTGCTGGCCCCGCTTGCTGGCTTGCCTGCAGGCCGGCTCGGCTTCCCTGGTGAGAGGGTTTTGGGGCCAAGCCTGAGAAACGTGACTCAAGCTAGCTTCTGCTTTTTCATTTTTCTCCCCTAGGCCTCTCCACTTGCCCAGTGCTCACCCACCAGGACACTGACAGAAGGGGCTTCTGGGCTGCCCCCGTCCACTCCTGCTTGGCTTCCCAAAGTCCAGCAACCTTCAACCCTCCTTGGGGGGAAAATACCTGCACCCAGGCACCCTAGCGCCCTGTGCTATGTGTCCCGGCTCGCTCAGGAATATTGTACAGAGAAGAAGAAAGACCAGCTCGCAATCCCTCGGAGCGTGTTTACATCTAGTTCTACTGATCCGTCCATCTGGAGGGTTTATTTATAACTCCTTCTATAACTCTTTCTGTTTGGAGGCACTGGTGGCTCTATTGACAGACTGATGTCTACAAAATATTGCTCTATCTCTAACCATACCTAAATGTGCTGTGGTTGTATTTACAGATTTATGTTTGAGGAAAATATAATTATTTCCATTGTATTTGTGCATATACAATTGTTATAGAAGCAGATTTATATATGGGAAAATATATGACTCTCTTACAGCCATCCAACTTTATGGACATTTGATATTCTGACAGATTTATACCTCTGAGCAGCTTATAGATAAATGTATATCGTTAGAATTATGTATCAGGAGATATATACTTATTGATTGTGATATAGAGTAGTTAGAACATTCACTTGGAGCCATATATGACTATGGAGATATTTCTATATTACTATCACTATATATAGGCACGTCTATTTATAACCACATAGTTATAAAAATAGACATAAGTAATTATAGTCCTATATGTACATGCTACCATCTCTCTAGAGTTATAGACACTTTGGAATATAACTCTATAGAGATATCCATATGTATATAAAGTGTAATTATCTCTTGATGTGTGTGCATTGGGATTTAGGCCAGTGTATCTGAACAGACATATTTATGGGTAGGAGCCGGGAGAGACTTGTTCACGGACATAACTGCAGAGGGCCCACTGAAAAACTGTACCTGGCCATCTAAGAAATTAGCTGGCAGAGTTTTTACTCAGGGAGAGATGGAGTTAGAAAAGGGTAAAGAGCAGATAGGGAGCGGCCCAGAGGGGAGACAATGCTGGATGATAGGGAGTCCCCTGGAACAGACAGAAGGAAAGAGGCAAACATCCAGTAGGCCAGAAAGGCATCAGCAGGTTTTCTAGAGGGGCTGATACTGGCAGGTGTGAACCAGGGGCTTACAAAAAGGAGAGGTGACACTCCTACCGACCGCTGCATTTGGAGGTGCTCTGCAGCTTCTGTTTGGCTTTTAGTGCCCTAAAGGTGGGATGAGGGGTCCTCCCCAGCCATTCCAGGTGTTGCTGGACCATAGCTCTACACTTTTCCCTTGAATTCTAAACCTTGTTTTCGGGTTTCAGAGAAAGGGCCTCAGAGGTGAAGATGTGTGGGAAGGAACCAGGCAGGGAGGGAAGAACCCTTTCACTACCGCTGCTTTAGGGTCACAAGGTGATGAAACCAGCTTTCACCTGTGCCATCTAGAGCTCAGGTGTGTGTAAGGTTGGGATGGTGGGGTGGGCTGCAGATTGAGGGGTGAATTTGAGAGCATGGGGCCTGTTCTGAGGGTACTGGGAGAGGCTTTCTTACCACTGGCCCCTTCCAGGCTTGGTCCTCAGCCATCTAATTCTGCCGCTCAAGTGGTGCTTCTTTGTTGTTCCTCAAATTAAGGTTCCTTCTCTGGGTACAGTGGGTGGCTCTAGTCCTCTAAAAGTCTTGCCTTAAGCTGGGGGAAGTTGACTTCAATGAGTAGGAACATGGACCTAAGCCCTGCTCAAACTGACAGCTCTGCTGTGCTCCCTGTCCAGGCACCACTGGGCCTCAGTTCCACAATTCTTTCCCTGCCACCAACCATCCCAGGGGAAAGAGACATATACATCCCAGTTTGTTTATTTTATTTGTTTGGTTAGTTGGGTTTTTAAACTAACCCAGGGAGTCACAGGTGTCTGTGCTGAATGGTGTGAAGGACTTTTCCCCAACTCAATCTGGGTGGCCAATTCGGCTTCTGGGAATCAAGATCCCAGATCCTTAGGATGCTGAGAAGGGAGCGAAGAGCCCTAGGCTGGGGTTAAATGCCAAAGCCAGCCTCCACACACAGCCCTGCCCACAGGACTGGGAACTCATCCAGGGCGAAGCGTCCATCTGCTGCCCAGCGCAGAAGGCTGACCAATATGTACTTGTTGAGGCCCACAGAATGCAGTCAATGCAAAGGCTCCCCCTCCCCTGAGCACCACGGTGGCCACTGCTGGTCAGCAGACACCCGGGCACCTGGGATGGAGGCAGCCCAGCCAGGCTGGGAGATAATGTGGTGAGCTGGGGGGCTCTGGTCAGAACAGTGACGCAAGCCCAGGACTGGAGGAGGAAGTGAGATCCAGGAAACTGAGGCAGCCCTAGGAGGCCCTTTCCCCACAGTGTTGCTCTGCCCCAGACCTCGAGACCTAAGAAAACTAAAATCCCAGTGAATCCTGGGGCTGGGAAGGAACTGTCAGTACCCATGATGGGGCCTAAAGAGGAACCACCACTAGATCCATTAAGAAATACACAAATAAAACAAGAACAAATTAGCAGGAAGCAAACAACCTAGCCAAGAAAAGGCCTTTCTCTTTGCCTCAGCCTTGACCTGGAAACATCAAACAGATCACGTTTGCTATTTTAAAATGTTAATTTATAATTTAAGAGCTCGCAGATTTTCTCTTTCTTTCTTTCTTTCTTTCTTTTTTTTTTTTTTTTTTTTTTTTTTTTTTCAGAACCAGGGATTGAACTCAGGCCCTTGCCCTTGCCTGGGAAGCGCCTATTCCACTGAGCCAACTCCCCGGCCCCTCAAAGATTTTCTGATACAGAAATTTCTCCAATCAGATTGTTTCACATATTTATTTTTTATTGTCACCACTTTCCCCTCTTTGGTTCCTTGTAGGAGTTTGGGGCCAGGTCAGTTACTGCTAGCAAGTGGGCATCTGTGGGTTTCCCCGTCTAGCAAGGGTCCCTGTCTGCAGGGACCAATCAGTCTTCCTCTCTCCTGTCAAGGTTTAGAGTGGGGGAAAAAAAAAATTAAAAACAAAACAAGGTTTAGAGTGGGAAGGAGCCCAGATTCAGTTTCTTGTTTTTCCTAAGAATCTTAGGTAAAGGAATAACATCAAAACTGGGCCTAAAGTAAACTTGAAGTCATCTCTTACTAATCCCTCAGCCTTTCCTAGCCCTCCTCCTCCTAACCAAAGCACAATTCCCCAGGGATGATTATGTTGTCCCTAAAGAAATGCAAGGAGGGTCCTGTATTTACATATGTTTGCCTAAAAAAAGACTAAGTAGTGGGGTGTCTGGGCTCTGGCCTGGATTGAGGGGGGTCATTTATTGTGAACATTAGAAACTCTGGGGCTCAGATAACAATTGTCCTCAGCCAAGACAGAAAACAAGAGACACTGACCATTATTATTAAGTCCTGGGTCCCACTACCTAGGCTTAAGTAGCTCTTAACTGTTTCGGGGTCCCAGACCTTTTGAGAAGCTGACAAAAACAACTGGCTTTGTTGCCAGCAAAATACATATAAAACACAGTGTCTTTGATGGTTGCGGGAATTACAAGGAGTCCTAGAGGCCCACGGTCTGTAGGGTAAACTCATTCCTAATTTGTAGTTTCCCTTTCTTTCTGTGACCCATCCCTGTCTGCTCACTTTCCTTTGCCCCCCACCCCACCCCATCCCCCTGCTGGGGGCTCAGGAAGTTCTTCTCCAAGTCTGACCCTGCCTTTCCCAAGAGCAGGCACCTGGCAGAGGCCTTGTGTGTGGCATCGGATCAGCTCTCCTCCTGCAGGAACCAGCAAAGTGGCTGTTAACTGAAGACTGATCTCTACTGTCCAATTACTCAACTAATTCCTGGGGGGTGGGGCTGGGGGCATATTGGCAGCAGCGGAAGCCTGGCTGTAGGGGGACCAATTCTCATCTCTAGTGGAAACTTGGATGCCAGGAGCAAGTTGCAATTGCTATAATAATAGTCATAATAATAACAATAATAATTTATTTAGCATATCATTAGATGTGTATTTACTGTCTTCTCTCTGCTTTTTTACAAGTGTCTCCTAAGGAATTCTCACAACACCCAGGGGAAACAATAATAAGCTAATTACCACCCTTCAGCTCCGCTCCTTCCATCCACAAAGTCACCTCTGAAACAGATCGTTTACAGAACCCCTTCCTGTGCTTTACACCTGCTTAACATTTCCCTCCCGGTGGTCCCCACATCTCTCCCATTCCCAGTTTTTCATTCCTGTTAAGGAATTTTATCTATAATTGAAAGAAGGAAGGGTGGGGAGGAGGAGTTGTGGAGACCCAGAGAGACCCTCTTTGTTGTGGTTGTTGTAGGTATGAACAGTGTTTCCTTAATGTTGTAGCAGCATATAGGACTCTGTGGGAGGAACTGATTCCTTAGTTTTCTGGTTGCTGTTTTTAAGGCAGACAAGATCACAGAGATTTGTAGGTGCTGCTGCGAGACAAAAACGTGTGAATCCAGCGTAGGAGTGTGGCCACTCCTGAAAACGTAACGTCCACTCTGGTGGCCCTCAGGCTTAAGAACCTTAAGGTCAGACTTAAGAACTGCCAGGTTCCATGTGGCTCTTTGGCCTCTTTTGATGGAAAAAAGAAAGGAAGAAAGGAAGGAAGGAAGGAAGAGGTAGGCAGGCAGCAAGATGTGTGTACATGCACATATTTACACACACACACACACACACACACACACACACACACACACACTTTTTCCTCAGTAAGTAACATGGCAGTGGCTATACTTTTTATATATTTTTTTAAATTTGAAAAAAATTTTTGTCTTAATAGCCAGGCTTCTTAGCACATGGCTTTAAACCCAGTACTTTGGGAGACTGCGTCAGGTAAGTTCCAGCCTGCCTGGGCAATTTAGCAATTTAGTGAGCCCCTTCTCAAATAGATAGTGCTGGCTATGGTGGCACATGCCTATAATCCCAGGATGTGGGAAGCTGAAGCAGGAGGATTGCTGTGAGTTTGAGGCAAGTTGGGCTACAGAGTGAGCTCAAGCCCTGCCTGAACTACACAGCAAGACAGTATTTAACAGGCTGGGGAGATGGCTCAGTAGAATAAGCAAGCGCAAGGGCCTAAATTTAATCCCCAGTTCTGAAAAAAAAAAAAAAAAAAAAAGAGCAAATCAAGAGAGAGATAAATAGATAAAAAGAAAAAAAGATAGAAAAATGGGTAGTACTAGAAATTTGGCTCCATTGACAGCCCTGGGTTTAATTTTAAGTACCATTTTTTTTTACAAGTTTCTTTGCATTTTATTTATTTATTTGCGGAACTGGGGATTGAACTCAGGCCCTTGCGCTTGCCAGACAAGCACTTATTCTACTGAGCTATCTCCCCGGCCCCTTTTTCGCATTTTAAAATACAAAATCATATCATCTTAGACATTATAATCAAAACACATGGGTTCTGAGTGGGCTTTCAGTTCAATTCCAAGAACCCCTAGAATTCCAGTGATCTGCAGAGCGCCCTTTGTCTCTTGTTTCCTCGACCTCAGCCCAGAGGGCAGCACCA